CTCGAATCTGTGAAATCATAACTGTGACTTATATCGACGTCCTATCTGTCTCTTTTCTCCGTTATCACCAGGCTGAGTCACGTAATTGTAAAATGGGAACTCTACGACGGAAAAGTGACGAATCGAAAATATTGTGCGCGCGTATTACGATGTATGCACAAGCATACATGGATTAGAGCGATAGAGGTAAGAGAAAGGAAAGAGCAAAGATGAGCGCTTAAAAAGAAGGATAGGCAAGGTCAGACTCTCAGATGTGCGACGATTCTCGAACGAATAGGTGTGTACGTGTGCTGATCTTTGTAATTATAAATTGTGAATACATGTGACTAATATTATTTTCTTTTTTATTTTGTGCATGTTTCAAGTTATAAATAAATATAAACAAACAACACTAACTCGATAACATTAAATCTAAGTACCAAAATGATTAATTTACTGTGTTTTTGTCATTTATTACTCTGTTTTTAGGTATTCAGTATTCGGCCGAATAGTGAAAAATAGGCCGAATAGGCCGAATACCGAATAGTAACCGAATATTCGTTATATCACTACTGCAGACCTTATTTTCTTTCCTCTTATGAACGTCTACGTTTTCTGAAGTTGTCTTGTGGTCTTCCCGCTTGCCGTTACTTGAACATGGGGAAACTCGATTTCTTTAGCAACTGCCCTACTTTCCTCTATAATTCAGCCGTCTTACAAGGTTCCGATACCTCTGATCTCTCACTATGCGATCAGGGTATGATCCTCCTTCGGTTTTCTATTGCAAGGTTTCTTACTCCTTGCTCAACCCCTCGGTCAGGACCACACTCGTTTTCGTCCTCTCTCGACGAAATCGCAGCCGCTTCTCCTTTCTCTCACCTCGCCTCCTCTCCAGGGGGTTATTGCTTGTTTTGTCTTCTTGACATTGTTTCACAGAAACGGTGATGTCACCCGAACTTTTTCCCTTAATAGGGATTAAGGGAAAAAGTTCTAGAACAGTTAAGACAAAAGAACAGAGGATATACTAAGCCTAACTAAAATTAACAAAAATATATATAAAACTATGGCCGACGGCCACAATATATATATAAAAAACTATATTACATACAAATAAAAACCCAGCGAAGCGGGTCCTTTCAGCTAGTTTAACATAAAATCTTTCAATTTTTCGAAGTAAACAAAAACTTTTACGTTAAATATGTGAAAAATTAATTGAAAAGCAAATTTTCAGCAATTAGAAAATGCATTTTCCAATTTCAAATGTCGAAAAATGTTAAAGCCTTTCAATGATATTACGAAAGGAGTGTAAAAATTATAAAAAATTTTGCAACGAATTGCTTAAATTTCCCAGCTGTTATGAGGACCAGTTTACGTGTAGACCCAGTCTGTAGTCGCTAATTACAGTGTAGTTTCAATTAAGTTAAGAAAATTCTGTATTTTAGCCGAAAGAGGGCGATTGGCGTTATCACATGATCATCTTCTATTCGGTTAGCGTAAGAAGAATGGCGACTGATTGTATACATGAGCGAAAAGAAAGAACGCCAAATTTCGAAGATCATATCGTTCAAAACATACAGCTAATCATAACGTTACACACCTCAATGTATAAAAAATAACAATACTTATCACATATTATACAGTTCGGACAGATAGCTATCGATTTTAAAGGTAATCAGTGATAGTGAACCCAGTTATTATATATGATCCTATTGGTAAATTCTTGAAATAACAAATTGAATGAACCAATGTCCATTGTTCACAGTTAAAATGATCTTATTTTTCCGTTTAGTTTCCAGTTAGAACTTGCAATTTACGTCAGGTTTAATCTACGACACAGGTAAGACGTGTCTAAATGTATTCTTCTGTATTTAAATACTATTTAAGAAATGTATACAAATTTTACTGATCAGCAACATGCATTTTAAACAGTAAAGGGTCATTTTTACTTCTTAAGCTTTATACTAACAAATTATCCTATAAAAACTCATAAACTTTTTACAAAAAACTAATTATAAAATCACAATCTTTAATTTAACATCATATTTAATAATAGTAAATTAAGGAGGGTTGTAAGTTAGGTTCACAGGAAATTAAGTTATTTCTCAGCAATTTCTTTCATTTAAAGATCATTATTAAGCAAAATGTAATGTTTAGTGATATCTGTTACTAAATATCATAATAAAAAGTATACAAATGGAATATGTTAACAGATTAGGATTTCCTCAGCTATTTCCAAGTTACATTATAAAAAAAATATTGTATTTAACTTAGTAATGTTCTGAAGCTAACAAAAGAAATTACACACATATTTACATAAACTATTAAACCATTACTGATGATTTTATACTTTTCATATCTTTTAATTATATAATGTGGGAATCTAATACTATGATGTACAAATTTAATGAATTTCTTGTTACATCTGTTTATTTTCTAATATGTAAAAATATTTTGGAATTAATACATTTTAAAAGTACTGCTAAATGCATAAGACAAGGACTAGGTGATTTGGGAAATTATCATCTATAAATTCTGTAAATTTATTTTTCCAAATATTATCATTTTTGATATGATATGTAATGGTACATCTGTGTATGTAATTCTTGGTTTCGCAAGTTGTTACTAATAGTTGATGAATTTATTTAAAAGTATTTCTGAAATCGTGATTTTAAATTATGTGATTTAGATAGCATGAAATCACAAAGATTCTTCCTAATAGAGTCAGTTGTGAGTTTTGATTAGGAAGAATCTGTATAAAAAGCACATTTGAACAAGTTCATTCACGTATTTTGAAATCAAAATTAGTCATACAGAGCTTATTTTAAAAATTTTAAACATTTATCATATGAAACATGATTATAGAAAGTTATTGTAGTTTTATGTATTTGTTTTTTATGATTTTTACAGTTTTAATCATTTATTTATTGTACTAAATTAATTTATAAATTATCAAAATGTGCATTTAAAATTTTATTAGTTAAAAAGAAATTATTTTAGCATTATATTTTTAAGTAATTTTTTAAAGAGATAATAAAAATTATATTTTTCAAATTATACAAGATTTCAGAAACAAAGATGTATAGAAGTACACACTACACATTTGTCATTCGTGTATGTTTATATAATACAATTAATATTAAAAGTATGATTCTATTTATTTTTATTCTACAAAAATATATGAATGGTAAATACAGTCATACTTTTATATAATGAATTGCTTTTGGGAAATACAGAACATTTGTTAAACAGAAAATGTATTGATAGTGAATATTAAAACAAAAGACAGGTTTCAATAGTCCACAGAAAAATTTATTAAAAGATAAATTTATTTAATAAGGCTTTGTAATATGGAAAACACACTGTAAACAGAGCTTACTGCTATTTCTCTATTCTTCTACATATTATATTTTTTCAAATTATAACAATGTTTAATATTCTAAGAAATCTTATAATAACTAAAATAATAATATAGTTTTTTTAACTAATAAATTTTTAAATGAAATTTTAATTTAACTTTTTGTAAGCTATCATTGTATATAAACGGATAATTTAAACTATAAAATTAAAATATAAAACAACAAATACTTTGTTGTTTACTGTTGCTGATTACAGCAAGCTACTTTAATTTTATTTCAAAATGTGATGACATGAATGAACTTGTTAAAATGTGTCGTTTTCATAAGGAATATTCTTAAGATTACAAAAAAATTTTGAAATAACAGTCTACTTTTAAGTCATTGAACTTATAATAATATAAAAATTCATTTATGTTATATTTATTATTTTGTAATGTAATATACAGTGGCATGTGGTGACATTTGCTGATAGGGAAGCTGTGCCGGCCCTGGACAGAAACATTGGTAGCATTATACAATATTTTAGTATGTAGTATCCACCAGCTAAACAGTGTAATGTTGGTGCTCTGTAAAGCACATGCGCGAATGCGTATCATCTGGCTGCTTTACATCATTCAAATATTTTCTCCATGGAATCTGCCCTGTATTCAGCAATACGGCACTTTCATAGGGAATATACATATATGAATTTATATTTGAATATACAATAGCAATCTTATTGTTTTTCACATGTAGTATAGAAATTTATAATAAAATACATAATGTGGTTATAATAATATATCAATTTTAATTAATTCAAAGTACATTAAAATTTGAAAATAATCGCATGATACGAGGACTGTTCGGAAAGTTCGCAGCCTCAAATAGAACAACAAACAAAATAATGTTAAAACTTTTTTTATTTTTCAATGTAGGCTCCTTTGTTAGCAATGCACTTATTCCAGCGATGTTCTAGCTTTTTTATGCCATCACAATAGGTCGATTTGTCAAGGTGTGCAAAATACTCGTTCACTTCAGAGATGACTTTGTCATTTGAGTGGAATCTCTTTCCAGCCAAGAATTTTTTTAGGTTTGGAAAAAGGTGGAAGTCACTGGGGGTCAAATCAGGTGAGTATGGTGGATGTGGAACTAATTGGAAGCGAAGTTCGTTTATCTTTTGTTCAGTGATTCTAGCAGAATCTGCATGTGCATTATCGTGGTGGAACAGAACCTTTTTCTTCTTCAAGTGTGACCTTTTTTCTTCGATTTCTTTCTTCAATTTTTCCAAAAGTTCACAGTAATAGACAGCATTAATTGTCTTTCCTCTTTCTAGGTAGTCAATAATGATGTCTTTAGCATCCCAAAAAACCGAGGCCATCACTTTCCCCGTTGATGGAACTGCCTTTGCCTTCTTTGGTGGTGGCAAACTGTGGTGTTTCCATTGCTTTGACTGTTCTTTTGTTTCAGGAGTGTAGTAATGGATCCACGTTTCATCAGTAGTCACAAACTGACGCAAGAAATCCTGTGGGTTTTTCTGGTAGAAGTCCAAACACTCCTTTGAGATCAAAGTGCGAACACGTTTTTGCTCGGCGGTCAGCAGACGCGGCACCCACCTTGCTGAGACCTTTGTCATACCCAAATTTTCGGTTAGGACGTGGTGCACTCAGTTGACAGAGATGCCTGTTGTCTCAGCTATCTCACACATTTTCAAACGGCGATCTGCTAATAACAAATCGTGAACTTTGTCGATATTTTCTTCAGTGACAGCAGTTGACAGCCGTCCACTGCGAGGGTCATCTTCCACTCTCTCTCTCTGACAGATTTAAAAAGGGCTGTCCATTTTTTCGCAGTGGTGTACAAAGGAACAGACTCTCCCAAAACTTCATCCATGTCAGCTTTGATTTGAGATGGGGTCAACCCTTTTTTCGTCAGGTATTTTATGACCACACGAGTCTCCGTCTTCTCCATTTTTGACAAAGCATGTGCACACTGACTATCTGCTAAGCTGTCATGGCAAAACTTTTTGACAAATCAAGCGGAAATTGGTATC